TTGCGTTCTATTAATTCGTTATGTGTACCATATTCAACAACATTTCCACGATCTAAACTAACGATAATGTCCGCATTGCGTATTGTGCTGAGACGATGTGCAATAACAATGGTTGTTCGACCTTGTTTAGCGCGGTCCAATGCATCTTGAACGACTCGTTCACTTTGGTTGTCCAATGCAGACGTTGCTTCGTCTAGTAGAAGGATTTTCGGATTGGAAATCAATGCTCGTGCAATGGCGACTGAAATTTTGGAAAAATAGAAACTTTTTTTTTGTTTATCAAAGCGAACACAAATACCTCGTTGTTTTTGTCCGCCACTTAGTTTATCTCCGGACGAAGTTTTATAATTCTAAAATGATAATAGTTTTCCGAGTCAGTTAAAGAAAACAAGCATTTACTTGTGGTAATTGCATAATGAAATCATGTGCATTAGCCATTTTAGCTGCAATTTGAACCTCTTCATCGGTTGCATTCAGCTTTCCAAAGCGAATGTTATCTTCAATTGAACCGTAGAACAGAACTGGCTCTTGACTAACAATTCCAATATGTGATCGAAGCCAGCGAAGGTTGAGCGAACGTATATCACGACCGTCTAATAAGACCTTAAAAATGAAAACAACTGGTAATTATAAACGACAATTCGAAAGTCAGCAGCTATTTTACTTCTCCTTGATCTGGATCGTATAGCCGTTGAACCAACTGAATCGATGTACTTTTCCCACAGCCCGATGAGCCACAGAGTGCGACGGTTTTTCCCGATGGAATTTTCATTGTCAATCCATTTAGAATCTAAAAGTTATTTCTCAATCTATGCATACGAATCAAAAGTATAAACATCATACGGGAGCATCTTTTCTTGATGGATATTTGAAATGAACATTTCGAAATTCAATATTTCCCGTGAATGAAGGTGGCGACTCGCCGTCTTCATTAGTTGGATCGATTTTTGATTCACGTTGAATAATATCGAACACGTATCCACCTGAACCAGACGCCTCAGCAAATGATTGCAAATTAGGCAGTATCGACGCCAATGAAAATGTTGCAGTCAGACATGAGATAAATATCTAAACTCAAGTGTTGAATTCAAGAAAAGAAGTCCAAATCATTCACATACCACAATCCATTGACCGGCAGAATAATTTTCACACTCATTACGAATCAAATACGGTCCGTACCAAAATATAATAGCCACTCCTCCATAAAGCACGATGTTAACTAAAGCTTGAGTAGCGCCGAGCATGAAACCCTTTCGAATACCAATATTTTTGCCTTCTCTTAAGCTGCTCTCGTATCTAATTCAATGAAATACTATTTCGATGACAAATTTCATATACAATTCAAATAATTACCGATTGCCTTCTTTTACTTGTCCACTAAATGCTGTTACTGTTCGTATGGCACCTAAGACTTCCTGGGCAATGGCGTTTGCCGAACTATATGCTTGCAATTCCAATGCCGTATAACGAACAATAACCTATTTTTAATTGCAGTAAACATAAGCTTGAAGATTTTTCATAATTGCCAAACTTACCTTGATCAAGAGCACCATCGCTAAAATAATCAGCGGAGAAATGGACAAAAAGACCAGCGTTAGTTTCCATCCAGTATAAAGCGAAAAGATGACGCTAGCAATAACACGAGAAACAATACTAATAAATTCTGCTAGATGTGAACCAATTCCTTCACGCATAATATCAAGATCCCCGACGAGACGACCAGACAACTCTCCTAGAGAAGAAATATTTTTTTTTACAAAGAGCAAAACAAGTATTTTAAAGCAACGTTCAAACCTGCATTCCGACAATCAAACCACCCCATCTCTTGTCGCATGATGCTCTCAAAAAGTGCATACCTGCAGAATGAAATGAATTTTTAAGTACACAGCATTTTTCACAGAGAGGAAAGCAAAACATACCGTATCCGACGGATTTGTCGTTCTGCTGCTATCATCTATAAAGAAAATTTTTCAATAAAAACACTAGTAGCAAAACTTTTACTGTAAGATCCTACCCAAAAGCTAAATGCAACCCAGAAAACGACAAGACTACATGCACCCAGTACACAAAGCCATTTCACTTTGTCTTTAATAATTTCAAATGGATCTCCAGTGACATGTGTTCCCACAGAACTATATTCAACAACAGAAAGCAAACAATTTTTTATCCTAAAACGAAATTCTTCATTACCATTGACTTGATGAAGTATTGCTCGATGTTCCCGTCTGAGATGTACCTAAACTGACTAAACCGTTCAAAACGTTTTGAAACAACCACATCATTATTGGTGTTGCAGCACCACTTGCCAAAGCTAGAATGTAAATTATCGAACCGTTCTATATGCACATTTGCATAGACAATAGTTAACCTGCGATAGAGCCAATGGTCATCAGAAATATGTCTAATTTATCAGCGAATTTGAACTGGTTGAAAACAAACAAAGTCATGGGATGATAGAAGACTAATCAACTGAATACATACGATTTCAAAAGTTTTCAATTTTCGACTGCTACTATTCTTTTTTGATTCTTCTGGTATCGCCGGTTTGTCATTGTTTTCAACTGCATGTTTTTTGCTATGCCCAACTTCGCCAAGAAAAATAGGAGTGGCAGATGATGGTCTTTTAACTTCGTCATCGTTATTAACATAACCAGGTAGATCATTAATTTGATCATTTGCTGGAAAAACTTGTGTATTGAATTTTTCTTTTCCGTTTGTCATCTTTTGAGATTCTAGTTTGTTTCTGTTGAATGCGTTCATTTATATACTCTTTCATTTGCACTATAAACGCGTTCTTTGTCGTTCTCAAAGAACGTTAACATACAGGAGTTCATCTATTCTGCTTTTAGAAACACTGAAAGTATGCGGCACCGATAGAAAAGGAATGGCAAAATGCCACGTACGAAGAGTTCGCTCGCGTTCTTCTCAGTCCACTCACAATTGTATTATATTAATATAGTGGAAGCAAGAAAATTGAAATTTTATTTTCGTCACAAAACCTCAATGGTACATGAAAAATATCAAATAAATTTCTGCTCGACTGTTTTGCAAGTTGATAACAGATCGAGTTGTTATCGAACAACAATCATCCCCCTCTTCTTTTGTTGGTTTTTCGTCATACACAAGATAGTAACTAGAAACAATCCTTATCTATCGTTTGATGACACAATTTCGATGTAAAATGGTGAAAGGTAGCTACGTCATTGAAAACATATTATAAAATGATGAGATCTGTCTTTTTTTCTCACAAACGAGTAGTCCTTTTTTATATTTTGCTTTCAAAAACAATTATTACATGACGATGAAGATTTCATACACTATTTTAGCAGTGTTAATCATTGGTAATCTCATTTAAAAAGAACAGATGACATTATAACTTGTGTAAATATTTATATTCTAGGCATTGTCGAATGCAGCAACGAAACAGCAATTGCACCGAGTGGACGTATCGCTTCATGGTGTTATTATTGTGCAAATTGTCCACAACCGTTCTATCCAAATAGCCCAGGTGTCACTCAAGTTGCTACATCTTCGGGATGGTGTACAGTACGTTTGTTTCAATATCAAATTGTGATCGTATCAAGATAGACAATTTTTTTTTGCAGATGATGAGTTCAACTGGTCCACCCAGTTCTGTTGCTGTTTATACCACTCGAGGTTCTGCTGTATCTGGCCTTTGTACTTATACTGGATGCTCATGGAAAGTCTACGCTGGAAGGAACACATACGTCTGTTGTTGTAATCAAAATTTGTGCAATGCAGCGTCTATTACTCCAACTACGCCACGACCAACTTCTAATACTTGTTTTTATTGCTCAACTTGTCCATTGCCATTCACCAAAAACAGTGCATTAGTTACTTATACCACTTCGCCCAATGGTTGGTGTACTGTAAGTTTATTTGATTTTATACTTGCTCGAATAAATTCTGTTCCTTTTCTTCTACTAGAAAATGAGTTCTTCTTCTTCACCTAATTCAATTGCCACTCGTGGTGCTGATCCAGGTGTTTGCAGTTACACGGGCTGCTACTGGACAACATATCAAGGTCGAAGTACATACCTTTGCTGCTGTCGGGGATATCTTTGCAATACTGGTGTATCTACGAAGAAATCAACTGTTGCTTTATTGGGTGCGGCATTATTGATGATGTTTGCAGCTCGTAAAAATCTTTAAGCGCGTAATTGTCTTGTTTTTTTCGTACCGTGATACTTTTATCATCGCTAAGATTAACAAATAAATCCTAAAAAGACCTCATTTTATATGAAAATGAAAGACTTGAGTCATATTTGTATGTAGTTTATCGACGAACGGAAGAACACACACAGACACAGTTCTTATCGTCATTTTTATGATCTTATTCATATATCGGGGAAAGTACGTGGTAGTACAGATTTAATATAAATACTCGCATCTAATATCAGTCGTTCTTTATTCCATTTCTAACAATGTTTTATATAAAATCCAAGCAGAATAAAACGATTTATTCGAAAGATATTGAAAAGGTCATCGATTATTTGAATCATGTGTTCCGTTGCATTGATTACAACGTCGATCACTCAATCTCGTCTGTTGCAGATCAACAATTTATCTTCTACTTAGCACTGAATCTTAGTCCAGATATACTAATTGGAAAAGTGTTTTTTCCACATGAAAGATTATCTCAACACCGTAACCGGCGATTTTATCAGATTAATCAGATCGGCTGCTCAACGATGGTTTCATCATCAATTAGTATCTCAGGACGCACATTTCAAATCAAAAGGATATTTATTTTCGAAGACAAATGGTTAGATGAATACTACCTTGAACCAATGATGCGACTTAACCAAGAACTTCAACAGAAACAATCAAAGAGGACTTGCTTAATTATTTAGTACATTTCTTTCCCTTTTTGTCATAAGTCATTTTCATACTTTTTCTTGATTTGATAAATGATTGTGTATATAAAAGTCATTTAATTTTCTCATGTTAGATTTACATTCTCGTACGAGTGAGCGACTTCAATTACGGATGCATATTTCACCACATATTCCACAGCATAACGAGACATAAGTGATGATGATAGTGACAAAAGCACAGTTGAACACTGCACTATGACAGTAAGTAGCTGGATTAGTAGGATCAGAAAATTGAACTGTCTTCTTCGCAGTAAAAACCCAAACATTGCCCTACAGAAGCCAGATAGTAGAAGATAGATAATCTCTATCACCAATATAATTTAACATACAATGATGAACCAGATGACTACGAAAAGTCCTAATGGTATTTGCACAATAAGACAATAGTATTCATCGCTCATGACTTTCTGGAAGAATCAATGGTATCAGATGATCAATGACTAGAATAATTTACTATACCTGAATTAACCCGGTAATCACCAAAACTAAACCAACAGCTCCTGATACAATCAGAAAAATAGGAATACGATTATTAATTGAACATTCGTTCTTAAGCACACTACCAACGATCTACTGTGCGAGGGGAATGACTCCAACGATGGCAGTAAGTAATAAAACCAACCAAAACCCAAGAAATAAATCACCACAGAGTTTGAAACCTTCCTTAACGTTCTTTATTTTTGACGAAGAAGAAGGAGACGCCTTATTTGTCTCGATTGTGACTGCTACGTCTTTAATATCCATCAATGCAATAAATAAGAAGAGCAATGATAGCAAATCACGAAAAACATACGTTTTAAATACACTTCTAAACATATTTGCGTTTTTCTTAAAAGAAATAAATCGCTGAGATAAAAAAGAGATTGTCTGCTAATAAAACATTTATTGCAGATGTATAGTATATGCTCGCATTTATGATATTTCTACTTCCTTATTCATGTCCGACATCATCTACAACTTTACCCATTTCTTTCGATGTACTACTAACAATAATCTACCTTCACGAAGCCTTAGTGCTTTGGCTCTCAATATCTCATCAGTATAGTGTGATAATGTACGATATATATCAAGATCCTGTCCGGGTTTTATCGTACAGAAGATGCATCAGTATCAGTTTTTAGAATAAATACTAATGCGGTTATTGCTATCTCATACGCCATCGTACACAAATGACAACTGAAATATAGGTTATTCGTAAAACAAAGATTCTGCTTTTGCTTTCCAACAACGTGACTTGAGTGAAACGTGTGTTTATGACTTCCCCGACTTTATTTTTCTTTTTCTGGATCTAATATATTGTTTTTACGACATGATACTCAAATCATTCATCGTAAAGTGCGTTGCATCACACTTGTTGTTGAGTATCGCATTGAAATATATATATACTATCGATGCCCGACCAATTGAATTCAACAAATATTTTGTTTTGTGGATATAATAATTCGATTGTTTTTCGACACAAAACATCGTCTAATCTTTCATCAACCATATCAACGGTAAATTTATCATACCAGACAGCATATGAGTAAAACGAATTTATTGAAAATTGAATAACTGGATGAACTTATGATGAATATCGGCTGGGAAAATCCATTCAAAACAGTAAATTTAAGTTTAACCACATTTCTGGTATACCCAGTACCAGAAGTTGCATAGTCTAGACCATTGACAGCCAGAACCAATTTAAGCTACCATGTTTCTGACACTGAAACTCTTTGAATTAATTATATAATCAGAATTCAATATGGCGGCTTGTTTCCACAAGGCTAGAGAACAAAATACAAGTCTGACATAAATTCTTTATCAGTTCTAACTCCCTATGAATAAAATTCCACATTTAGTACACGTCATCAATTTAGTGCACTATAATTAGCAATTTTATAGGGTTAGATATCATATCTAATGAAAATCTGGCACTAACGATCGAAAATACAAATAGGGTAATACCAATTAATACAATCATAACGTTTTTTGAACGATAAAGATGAAGAACGGAGTCTTAGGCAGCTCTTTAGATGGCCTTATTTCATTTATCAACACGGGAATTAGTAATAGGTTATGTCAACTTTACATGGTCATATTCAGATCAGCAGAAAGGAATGATATCATCGATGATTCAACTAGTCTGACTAATCAGGGAGGCTCTCCAGCTGACATACACTCTATTCGGAATACTTATGTTGAATGGTTTATTAAAAATAGCATCTAAATTTACACTGCAGTATCAAACAAGATCCCCTAAAACGTCAACAATCTCTTGTCAATAATTAATGAGAAGAATAGCACATTTGTTTAATTTGACTCAGCTTGTCTTCCAAAACATCGAACGGTTCGAGAAAAGTCTTTTTGACTTTTTCCTCTGTTCTACGAGCATGATTATCAAGCAATTCATCGACTCCTCGTGCATTATTCTTGCAAATATCATCCCATAATTGATTCATAAGTGTTTGTAGATCATTCAATATGTCATCAGCGAGACTTTGAACTTTTTGAATGACTGGAACCATGGTAACCAATAGGTTCTGATAGAGTTGCATTTTATCAGCATAATCGGGATCTGATGGATCAGGTCGTGCGCCTTTTATTCGTGTACGCAAGTCATTGATATTAGTCGTAAATGTGTTTTGAAGATCGCCAATCATTTCATCAACGAATGCGTCAAGTTGTTTGAAGTCTAGCGATGATAGATCAGGTTGTCGACTACCAGGCTTTAATTTCAGTACTAATGTTTTCAGCTTTTTATAGTTTTTACGAACTGATTCTGTGACCGTGTGCTAAACAGATAAATATACATATCAGAGATAGTCTAAATAAATTTTACCGTTAAAGATGACGAAGGTCCTGTATGAGCGGTACCGGATCGTGCAGAAGCATTCACTTGGTTAGGACGAATAGGTGACTATGTTAAAGAGAAAAGAAAAAAAAACTAGTCTACAAAATCATGATTATTTACAGCGAATTCATCGAAACTGGACATTTCTAATATTCAAATCTGAAATAGAAAGATCGTTTTATTGAGTTCAAAATTTTTTAGGATGTTATCTCGAAGAAATTAAAGACACGAGCTGTTATTTAAGAAAAGAAGTAATAAATTCATTAAATGAATTACGAATCAATTCGAGAATACCGATCATTGTTCGCGCCATGTCGTTGATCCATTCAACGATATTTTTGATGACATCGATGATCTTTTTGAATATACGATTGACCCATGTTGTCACTTGATTAATACCGGTTGATGACAGTGATACATATTGTTTGTATTGATTCATTCGCTCTGCATAGTCTGGACTTTGATCGTCGGTCGGTCGTCGTGCCTTGATTTGCTCTCGTATTCCATTGACACGTGCAGTAACATCTTCAACGAAACGATCGGATTCACGATCGATCTTCTTTTCTAGCTCGGCGACGTTATTAGCGTCGCGATTTTGTGCTGCTGTTTCGATTGTGTTTTGAAGAGTTCTTGCGCGAGTTTCGATGAAAGTACGAAGAGGTTTTTCATGTGTATCTTGGAAGCTCATACTTACGGGGAGAAAATACGATAGCTTATCGAAAACGACGAGTACTATATAAATATAAGCAATCTTTTGTATCGAGAAATATTGGTGTATTAAAAACATGATTTTTACCTGGTGCGCTGGTTGGTTTCTTTTTCTATATAATGTTACCGAATACGATATGTTTTTGTCGATATATATATATATATTCAATCTTTCGTGGGCAGTGGGATTTTTACCTTTTCTTTTCTTCCTGATTGACTATTAAACTATGCAATCTCTCTTGCTATTATAGTTATAAAGATGTGTATTTGTACAGAAAATAGTCTAGGTGAGAAACATAAAAAGAAGCACGCATGGTCTGTTTTGTGATGATTGCATACGTTTTGATAATATTTCAGGTGATCAACAATATCTTTTTAAAGTGAGAATAACTGAAATTCGATATGGATACATGCGGTATTGATGACATTGTATGTAATGCTCTGTTTTACTTATAGATTGAAATTCTAACAAAATAATGGCAAATTTTTCGTCATTCGATGAACAGTATCGACCGGCATTCCACAATAAACTAGATCAAAATGTTGTTGAGTTCATGCAGCAGAATATAGATCGTGCTCAACTTATGAATGATGCTGACAAAGCAGAGAAATTCCTGGAGGAAGCATGTGATCAATGTATTAATATAGTTACCGATCATGTGAAAGAAATCAAGGAATCGGCCAAACAGAAACGTGCAAGTTGTAAGACTCCTGCAGATGAGCAGAAATATACAACATTCATTCAAGGAGTCGCAGCAGGTGTTCAAGCAGCTCAATCGAAAATCGATCAGATCTTCTGTCGTATTCATGATCTTATCACAACTGTGATCGGTTGGATCCGAAAGGGCACTCAGTGGATCGCGAATGCTATTTCGGAAGCTTTTACTTTCATTCGCTCTATTTTTATCAAATAAATTGTTGGGCGATTCTTTTCAAAAGTTCATTGTAGACAGTGGCATGAACCGTTTTCGATATTTCTCTTATTAATATTTTAGAAATAGTTCTTTCTTTGACTGAATACTGGTATGGCTTCAAATTGTGATTGTATCGAACCAATATTGGATGCTGTCGATGTCGTTAAATTTGATGCCAATGAAACAACAACTACATTAGCCGCCGATGAATCCATATCCAACGATGCTCCAGATGTGTCGGACACTGTCGATGTCGTTAAATTTGATACCAATGAAACAACAACTGCCGTAACTGTCGACGAATCGACATCCAACAATACTCCAAACACGTCGGATACTATTTCTCAGGTAAAAGTAGACGAGGAACATTATCAGTTGAATATGGCTTTCTTTTGCGTGAATGTAATTAGATCGAAAAGCAAGTCACAAACGAGTATTCAACAGCACCGAACACTCACTCGCATGTAAACTATGTCTATAGTCAATTATGATCTTATCAACTATTCTTGATTGATTTCTAGGCACAGAATACACACAGATACACGGACCTAGCTAACAATCTTGCAAGTGTAAATATCTTGATAACTTTTCTATACATCATATCATGATCCTACTTTTTCAGAGTACAATGACACTTGTGATTCAAAGATCGAAGCCACTAATTCTCAAACTACGGAATCCAGAGTATACTTGGTTGTGTAATGCCATTAAACCTCAAGGTAATATCGAATCGACGATCGATTCACTGGGTGATGAACTGGTTGCTCATCTTACAGCCACTGTGAACAGTATTCGGAATGAAGTCAAAAGTGCTCGTCCCCAACCAGACGAAGAAAACTATGAGCTCAAAATGGTCGCTTATCTAGAATTTGTGAAGTGTATCACACATATAATGAATAGCTTAACCGGAGTTTTTGACGATTTTCTAACTGAATATCGCAGACTTATTGATCAGCTATGGGATCATCTTCAGCAGAGTGCGCACCCAGATACCGATCGCTTTATTCAACAATTTCAAAGTCGAACAGAAAAAATATTTCATAATGCCGTGACAAATAAGATTGAACCATTATTCAAAGCGATCGATTCTAAACTTAACCCACCGGAACAATGACTGGAGCTCTGTTGAAATAGATCGATTTGTTTTTTTTACCTTTCGCATTCAAATAAACTGGAGAGACCTATCACATTTGAGCATGTACGAGCGATGGCAAATGTGAGTTCGTCATACCGAAGTTGGTTATTTCATGTAATTGCGTAGATCACGGTTTGTCACTATCAGATGCATGTTTCTGTTTCATCTGTGATGTTCCACAGATGTTGTTCTGTCTGAGAACAAAGTGCAAAAGTTTTCTTCGAATGACAACATTGGTACAACCGATTGGGCTCGTCACTAAAGTCGACTGAGATATGAGATCGCATTGTGTAGAAAATTTCGGCTCAATCTATATCGAAAATTACTATGTACATGGTTGGTCGGTCAGACTGGCTGATTCTAATCGTATAATCGCTTTTCAATGCATAAAAACGAATGGTATCAGCGACCCACGGAAACAATACAATCCCATCATTTATCTATTACATACTTTTAGTTCACACTTACATCTCATATGATGTTTGAAAGGAATACTTTTTCAACCGTTTATTATGAATATCTCGATTTGCACTAAAAAAAAGGGCATCTAGCAAGGTTAGCAATGTTTCATTTACGTTCAGTGACGAGATTGCATTTGTTTAATTTGATTCAATTTTGCTTCCAAAACATCGAACGGTTCGAGAAAAGTCTTTTTGACTTTTTCCTCCGTTCTACGAGCATGATTATCAAGCAATTGATCGACTCCTCGTGCATTATTCTTGCAAATATCATCCCATAATTGATTCATAAGTGCTTGTAGATCATTCAATATGTCATCAGCGAGACTTTGAACTTTTTGAATGACTGGAACCATGGTATTCAATAGCTCTTGATAGATTTGCATCTTGGTAGTGTAGTCAGGATCTGACGGATCAGGTCGTGCGCTTT